ACTCAATCTGATCATACGGGACCTCATCAGTACCACCTTCCTCTAACGTCAGGATCATGTGATCCTTGGCCTTTACTTGGCGTGAGATAGTACGATTCTTCCACTTCTTCCCCTTCTCCAGGTCCTTATGCCAGAAAGTGGTAACTGACATAAACTTTGACTCATACAGGACGACCTCCCTACTCAATTGATCGTATGTGATGCCGGCCTGCTGAGACTTGTCAAAGAAATGCCCGCGTAGGGCCTCTGGAATGGCACGATAAAACAACTGGACCAGTTGGGGATCAGTGACCCCGTGGTCCGGGACAGCTACAAAGTCGTCCATAGTACCCCCTCCACTGCCGTGAGTGGATCGTTTGGAGCTTGTCAGAGGCTCTTATGCCTCTCGTTGGGTCAGCGAAACGCTCCTTGAGGAGCCTGAGGAATTGGGAAAGAGGGTTGACTTTAGAATATGCAACCAGGTTGTTTTCACAACCGGCTGTACGCGCGAGATACCTGGCGAAGCTAGCCGCTTCGTCCTTCAGGGCCTCGAAGGCCACGAGGACTTGCTCCTCCATCAGGATATGCTGTAAATAAATGTAACTATTGACACTGGCCTCCCAGTTGTCAAAGTTCTCGTCCTTCTTCCCCCCGTACGCGTCTGGGAACTTAAGTTTCACTGGGTCCTTACGGGGTCTGGCCTCTTCTTCTACAACGGCTGCAGCTTTGGCACCCTGAATGGCGCCCTCACAAAACTTCCCTACGTTGTCTCTCAATTGCTTGAATTCACCCCCAATATGGGTGACGATTTCGCGCGCAAAATCCCTGAACCCGGACCGCATGGCACTTAACGCTACATCCTGGCTCCAGCTTGCCTGGCGCTCCTCCATCCAGGCCTTGCTCAACACCTCTAGATAGCCCAGTACTTTGTCCCACTTGGCCTTGTCATCTGGCTGGGCCAGCACCTCCGCTCTRCACTCMTGCACCTTTGCCACTGCKGCGGTCATCTTATTCACTTCCTCTCTCCTCCTCTTCTTCTCCCTCTTCATTCTCATCTTCCATGCTAACTTTTGCTCGTCTTCCCTCTCTCTTCGTTCCATTGGGTCTGTCATGGCTGCTAGCTCAGTGGCCAGCGCAGCCTTCTCATCCTTAGTCACATAGGACTCYGCCTCCTCGTCTTCCCCCAACGATAAATTAGCGACCCACTCGCTGATCTTCTTCTCCAGCTCAGTATCTGTCTCCCACTTCATCGTGCCACCACTACTTCCTTCCCCACTCTCAATTCTCATCCTCTCTTTCTCTTCTTCTGCTGCCGCTTCTGCTTCAGCAACCTTCCTTCTTTCTTCCTCCTCCTGTTGTACCCTCTTCATCTCCTCCTCCAATCTCTTCATCTTCGCCACATGCTCGTCTGCGATAGCCTTTAGCTTGGCTTGCTTTTCACGCTCTTTCCTCTCCTTATTCTCTCTGACTAAGGCGGTCATCTTTTCTTGCTGCTCAATGGTGTCGGGGCTAGTCTCCTTCCCACTACGGGTCTCAACCATGGTGATAAGTGTACAAGCGGGTTAGTGGTTCCAAACCTCACCACGTAGACGTCAACCCCTGACTGACAGACCTACTGACTCAATCTAAGACTCACAGAATCCTGACAGGGATCCTGTCAACTATGGTCTCTAGCCTAGACCTACACTATGGCTGTCACTACGGAACCAGTGGCTGATCAGGAGGCATTTACGGAGATCCCCCGTAACTCCTCAAGAATTTTTTAACGTCGCAGACAGGACGACGTGATCAGCTTGGTTCGACCTGTGCTTTCAGCCCACAACTCAGCCTTTCCGGCCTACTGTGCCACACCGAGCAGCCCGCCGGTCTGTACCGGTCCTTGGGAGGGTTCGTATCCCCCGGGACAGTCGAGTCGTCAGACATAGATCATCAACCTTACTTGGTCTGGTAGGGGAGTGGTTCCAACAGGCCCGCAACACTTAAAGACGGCCTCCGTTTCAGCCTGCAGCTCAGAGTTCGGACCCTCTACACTG